CCACACTCAGACGAAGACCCACATTTAGCCTTAACGTGCTGTTCCCGAGCAGTATAAATGGGGGCCGGCATGGCACAGGAGGAGGTGTGTGGGTAGAACCAGGCCCGGCCGCCTTTGTCACCCGAAGTCACAGGGAGCAGCACCCAGGGCCCTGCGGACCGCCGTGGTCGTGGTGGTGAGGAGTGACGCGTCGCTCATGCTCGTGTGAAGTGCACGGAGAGTCTGTGGCGGAGTGCTTGAGCAGACCGAGAGAGCCAAGGCAGGACTACGACGCCATGGCAGAGGTGAAGGAGGGCTGGCTCTACAAATCAGGCACACAGGCCGGCAGAGGGAACTGCAGACCACGCTCCGCTCGCTGTCCTCCAAGCTCGAGGATATGAGCACATGCAACCTGATCGGCAAGCACGGAGCCGCCCTCCAGCGCTCGCTCAACGACCTGGAAAACCTTCAGCTGCCGCCCGAGTGCAGCGAGAAGCTCAAGGCCATAAATGAGCGCGCCAACCTCTTCTACGTCACCTCCAATGCTGTGACCAATAGTGCACACGGGTGAGAAGCCGTGCATGTGTGGCGAGTGTGGCAAGACGTTTCTCGCGCTCGGCCTACAAGTATATATATTTTTCGCTCATGTGTTAAACTATGTGTATCCCTGATGTTTTAAAGATGGCAATTCTCCTGCTGTATATTCTACTGCTGTCCCTCCCGGCCATATCTAGTGCCACACTCAACTCTACAAACGGCTACCCTCGTTACTTCGCATCCATACTTGTTGCTCAATTTGCCACTACACCTGCTAATTAAACAGCGTATAGACAATTCTACACTCCATCATTGAATCATTTTCAACCTTATCTTTGTCCCATTACTTCACCAGCACTCCTTCCAAACTTCATTCTGCTCTTAAGAATATCACCACCTGCGAACTGCTGATATTCATCCAAGGTTCGCCGCTCTTCATCCTTTCACAGAAAATACCTGTGCAAACTATTAATTCTACTTTTCTTATTTCTGGGTGGTATTGCGCTTCATCCTGGCCCAAATGTAAAGAAATCGTATAATTCTATAGATTTTTCTGGCAGAAAAGGTGTTGGTGTTCTACACGTCAACATCAGAGGGCTTGTGATTAAATTAAGTCAACTAAAATTAGAAGTGGCAAGCCTGGACCCGGACATTGTTTGCCTAACAGAAACATTTCTCACTCCTGCTGTAAATGACTTGCAGATTACGATTGACAACTACATGACTTGCAGATTACGATTGACAACTACAACCTTTTTGAGCTTGACCGAGGATCTAAAGGAGGTGGAATTGCCATCTATGTTTGTAATACTATTGCATGTTCACCAGCTCACTCCTTGTTTAAAAAAATTGTATTGAAGGTCTTGTTCTCAGAATAACTCTCCCAAATAATCAACAGATATTGGTAGTGTGCTGCTATAGACCGCCTAGTGGGAAGGATGTTGAAGCTGCGTCTGCACTGAGAGAGCTTCTTGGGGTCCTCCCTAAAGGTGAAATCGTTTTAGTAGGTGATCTAAATTGGAATTGCTAAAATTGCCGGCCGTGGCCACAAATTTTGCAGATAGATTAACCTGTTTCAATGAATAAATGTCCCCACAAAACCCAACCTAAAAAATCAGGGAGTCATGTCTGCTTGACGTCCTATTGACAAATGCCCCTCACAATTGGTTGAGAAGCACTCCATGAGATACTTGAGCATTCAGGCATTTACTAATGATGTGCTTCACTTGGATATTGACAAGGTCTCTGAAATCCCTAACCTGACTACGGCTTGGGAGACCTTCAGGTACACGTTTCTCCAAATTCTTGACAAACATGCTCCGTTGGTTAGATTTAAAACTAAAGGCAACCGCCCACCATGGTTTGATCCTTTGATTACTAAGCTCATGAAAACTAGGGACAAGGCTTGGGCACTTGCCCCAACATTCTGTCCAGGCTATACGGGGGATCTTTGTCTTTGTGTGTTTGGAGCAAGTTTGAGTGGCGTGTAGCCATGGGAGTTAAACGGGTGCGTGCCGCTACAGTCATTGACTATGGTTGGACAGACGCTGATAGACAAGACACACACAGACAGACAAGACAGGCGGACAGACACAGACAAGAGGAACACAGAGACGGAGAAAGATAGAGACGACAGAGACAGAGAGAGACACACAGAGGCGGGCAGAGATGTTGAATCGAACACACTTAACTCGCTCCATGGAAAGAGTTTCCTCGATCTTTGCCCATCCCCGTTAGTCGTTCTAGTTTATATTTATTTCAGTGTGGCGTGTACATGTGTAACGGGTTCCGGAGACACTTGTAGAGGTAACTTCTTTATTATAATACAACACTCCAACAGTCCTGATACTCTGTTACAGCCTAGGTACACAGCCTAGGTACACAGCCTAGATACTCTACTCTGGCTACGCTCTGGAACTCGCCTCAGAAGGTCGTCGAGTCGGGAGTTCCAGAGTCCCACCACTGGCTCTCACAGCATCCCAGGGTCTTCAGATGGCTGGTCGTGGGTCTTGGGTCTTGAGTTACAACTGGGCCCTGATCGTCCAGGGAGCTCTCCTTTTATGCCTGGTCCAACGAGGGGTGGGGCCGTGTGCGCCACCAGACATCCCACAGAGCACACACAGCCCCCCCCCCCCCCCCCCCCCCCGTTGGCGGCGCCAAGAGGCTTAAGCGTCTGGACCCGCCTGAGAACCCAACGCCTGGTGCCAAGAGGCTTAAGCGCCAGGCCCACCCAGGTCCCAGAGCCCCCAGCAGCCCCTCCCTTCTTATGTCACTACACATGTAAGCAATGTGGGATATCGATGTACACAGATATGAACAAGATGAGCAGACGAGACGTCTTTCATACTCATTGGTTCTTTCCGTAAAGTCACGTAGGTAGAAAAAAGAAAATAAATCGCGACGTTTCGATCACAACAAGCGGTCGTCCTCAGGCGAAAACATCTAGACATTTTCGCGGCAGAAGTCACGTGAGCTACGGCACGTGACATATATAAGGTGCCCCCCCCCCCCCCCCCCACTGTGACTTGCCCCGCTCAGCTGAGCATTGTTTTAATGCGGTGGGCTCATGCGAAATTGATTTCTGTAAGACAAAGGAACTTTGAAACCCACTGGCTATCTATATATATAAAATCGTTCATGTCTGTGTGTCTGTGTGTGTGTGTATTTCGGCCCATACGCACTTTCATTGGACGGCGGTTGCCCCTGGCAACGGCTAGCCACGCCTTCGCCGCTTTCATTGGACGGCGGTTGCCCCTGGCAACGAGTAGCAACTTTTCTCCGCGGGGTGGACGCCATTTTTAATAGCGCGGGGGGGGGGGGGGGGACCCAGCGTTCGCCGGGTGGGAAAATCAGGCAAGGCGGGAGGCTCTGCACGGTGCTAGGCCTCGACACCCAACACGCCACTCTGAGGTAAATTCATACAAATTTCACGTCCTCTACAGAGTGGCGAGGGAGGCAGAGTGGCGAGGGAGGGACTCAGCCTCAAAACGAGTAACTGGTGTGGCGTATTAACATCGCCACTGGGGAGACAAAGGCGGCCGGGCGTGGTGGATACAAGTCCCGGGCGAAGCCGGGTAGTACAGCTAGTACTCTTATATAAGCACACAACTTCATCTACCTATGACGAACGCTGCACTTTCCGTCGTTTTCATGCAGGGGGCGCTGCAAACATACGCACCCCCTGTATGAACGACGGAGGCACAGGGACAGACGTTCGATCATGTTGGAATCGATCTACGGACGGCGGTCTTCTCGCACAGCCAGCTCTGTGCCGCCTTATTTCGATCCCGCAATCCCGAAAAGGTGAAACTCCGCATGGAACCAAATCCCCGGCAAGGCCATCTACTTAACGACGAAAGGAAATTTACACGAAATGTCGTTTTCAATTAAGTCTACCAGATGTAAAATTATATAAGCTTTTAATGAAGAAATACAATTATCTAATTCAAAACATAATACAATTCAACATTGTTTCATTTTAAAACTTTAAAACGGACCATCAGGAGCTTGCGTGGATGCGTCGTTCGTGCGCAGTTTTTTTCATGACTTTCCTGGCCCAAGGCCGTAAATGGTTCTGAGGGGCTTGCTTCAACCCATGGTTGTGAACATTCAGACGTTAATCAGCAAGGATAATTTCTAGTCCTAGTTCGACAAAATCTACGTCAACACGTAATACAAAATTATAATTCGTGTTGTAGAGAATGTACCTCCTATTCGTGTAACTTTTGAGTGGTATGCCTTGTAACTGATGAATGATCCGAATGCGCTCCCTATTTCAAAGACAATGAGTTGCTCCAAAGGGAGATGCTTCCTGAAAACACAAAAGTACCCTTTGACCTGTATCACAAAAACAACGGGTCTCACCAGAGTGATCTGTCCAGGTTACTTCCAAAACACACACTTTGTCCTAACATCACTTAATCAATGTTTAACCCTTATAGACAAAATGTTACATGTACACACACAATCATACAAGTATTAATTCTAAATTATTGAGTCATTTAAAAAAAATTTAATTACTGCACCTAATTATGCTGCATCAGGTTACATCGTATTAACAATAAGTTATTTAAAAAAATACACACCGTCTGCTTAAGTGTATGTACATCTTCTTGGTTCTTTCGGTAAAGTCACGTAGAAGGGAAAATAATAAAAATAAAACATAATAAAATAATTCTCACAAAGTTTCGGCTGCAACGCAAGCAGCCGTCCTCAGGTGAAGAATGAAACACCACCAAGCTTGGAGCGAATATTTAAGCTGGGTTGGCGGGGGAAGAAGAGCGCCTTGACAAAATAATTTGCATATCAAGAGGAATTTAGCATATTTATGGGAAATGCGTAGGAGGTGGGCGGGGGGTTTCAAAGTCATATTATGCCCGTGCATTATGCAGGATTAGCAGCATCAAAGGGAGGGGACAGGGGGTAGAATTAACAAAGGGAAGGAATGTTAAATTCCTCTTGATATGCAAATTTATTTGTCAAGGCGCTCTTCTTCCCCCTCCAACCCAGCTTAAATATACGCTCCAAGCTTGGTGGTGTTTCATTCTTCACCCGAGGATGGCTGCTTGCGTTGTAGCCGAAACGTCGTGAGAATTATTTTATTATGCTGTATTTTTATTATTTTATTATTTCCCTTCTACGTGACTTTACCGAAAGAACCAAGAAGATGAATCCCTGCAGTCACGAAAGCTTTAAATCGAAGTGAATGTACAACATAATAGTGTAATTCAAAACGAGTAGGCCATTGCATTCTGACGTCTGGGTCAAAATTGATCAAATTCTAAAACATTACCGACAAACTCCACAACTAAGATGCCACATCAACCACCGCCCCCTACTGACAGGCTCTTGTCCACATGCAGGCCGGTGCAGGGCCACCTCCTTGTGCCACACAGGGGCAGCTGCTACTTGGGGATGCTCTTCGAGTGTTTGAGACAAGATACGATACAAAACTCCAAGTTGCTGAGGCAATTAAGCAAGCACCATGTAAATGCAATTATGATTACATATCGAATGCTTGGGAGCCTATTGGCTCTCACTCCTGGTTAGAGATCTACGCAACCCACAGGTCCACAAAGACTGGCCGCTCTTGCCCTGCAGGTTGAACCGAGGAATTGAGCGTTCAACTTCACATTCTTGTCATTAAAGGCCTGTGACAAAGGTGCGTCTATTGGAGCGACAATCTCAAGCTACACATCTACCGGGTCTCCATTTGACTTTGTATTGTTTCAGAGGAAGTCCACCCACACCTCAACTTCCACAAACTGCTGGGAGTTGCCTCGCTCTGCCTCAGTCAGAATTCTCCTCCTGCTTCACGTTGCCTCTATCGATGTGAAGGTCTGATTTTGGAGTGAAATCTTCATCTTCACATTTTACCTTCACTTCTTCGCTCTTGTCCATCACTTCTTCACATTTCACCTTCACCTCTTCATATTTCACCTTGATACCTTTAAAAGTGTCTAAGCTGGGATTTTCTTCCGGTTCTTGTTTAATGAGGGATGGGCTCATTGCGGCACTTTGACTTTCACAAGCCGATTTCAGACTCCACTCCTTCTGGATCTTCTGATGCTTGTGTGTTCTCTGGTGTGCATGAAGATTTGATGAAAGTGCAAATGTCTTCCCACAAGGAGTGCACCTGAAGGGGTTCTCTCCCGTGTGTGTTCTCTGGTGTGCTACAAGACGAGTTGAACGTGCAAACGCCTTCCCACACACACTGCACTTGAAGGGTTTCTCTCCCGTGTGTGTTCTCTGGTGTATTCCAAGAGTAGATGACTGTGCAAATGCCTTCCCACAAACACTGCATTTGAAGGGTTTCTCTCCCGTGTGTGTTCTTTGGTGTGCTACAAGAGGAGATGAAAGTGCAAACGCCCTCCCACAAACACTGCACTTGAAGGGTTTCTCTCCTGTGTGTGTTCTCTGGTGGTCTACAAGAGTAGATGAGCGTGCAAACCCCTTCCCACACACACTGCACTTGAAGGGGTTCTTTGCCGTGTGTGTTATCTGGTGTTTTGCAAGAGTAGATGACTGTGCAAACGCCTTCCCACACACACTGCACTTGAGAGGTTTCTCTCCTGTGTGTGTTCTCTGGTGTTCTACAAGAGTAGTTGACTGTGCAAACGCCTTCCCACACACACTGCATTTGAAGGGTTTCTCTCCTGTGTGCGTTCTCTGGTGTGCTACAAGAGAAAATGAATGTGCAAATGCCTTCCCACACACACTGCACTTGAAGGCTTTCTCTCCGGTGTGTGTTCTCTGGTGCATTGCAAGAGTAGATGACTGTGCAAACGCCTTCCCACACACACTGCACTTGAAGGGTTTCTCTCCCGTGTGTGTTCTCTGGTGTATTACAAGACAAGATGAACGTGCAAATGCCTTCCCACACACACTGCATTTGAAGGGTTTCTCTCCCGTGTGTGTTCTCTGGTGTGCTACAAGATGAGATGAAAGTGCAAACGCCTTCTCACACACACTGCACTTGAAGGGTTTCTCTCCTGTACGAGTTCTCTGGTGCCGTGTCAAATTTCCAGTACGATCCATGCTGTAAGCACCGAGCCACGCAGAGTGCCTTTGCTCCATTAGACTAATTCTGCAGAGGAAGTGACAGCTGCAGACAGAAAAAAAATATCAACACCATCTACACGTCAGTATCGATACACAGAGGAATGCATATTTACACAGATAAACGTCTATACCTATTCTTATATTCATGATATAGTGAAAAAGTGTCCCAAATTCATCACACGGGCTGTTATGGAACACAATGAGAAGGCAAATGGTCACAAACATGCCTAGAAGCCCTCATATCTTCAAAATGAATGTTAACCCAATACTCCGAGCACACAAAACGGCTGTCTGGCTACAAAAGTAATATTTATGAAAGCTAAATTCAGCTGATAAAGCAAAGGCTGTTGAAAATAATACTATTTGTTTTGATTTAAAGCTTTCGTGACTGCAGGGATTCATATTCTTGGTTCTTTCGGTAAAGTCACGTAGAAGGGAAACAATAAAATAATAAAAAATATAAAACAATAAAATTCTCACGATGTTTCAACTGCAACACAAGTAATCTTCATCAGGTTTGGAAAAAAAACACCTGATGATGATTGCTTGTTTTGAAGTCGAAACGTCGTGCTTGCGGGGGATTTGGCTCTCGGACGGTGGCCTTCACGTAGAAAAAAATTTGCCGAGCGACACGCCCTAAGCCCCGTGGTGGGAATAGGCTATTCCATTTTCCCATCCGTAAACATTAAAGTAGTTTAATTAACACATTTGTGCCGTTTCTATTATTCATTATTTACTTATTGCACGACATCGACCGTACCAACTGACGCCAATTGCGTGGGGGGGCGGACCCTACCAAGTGCTGCGCGTTCGCTCCAGCTCACGGGGGACATTTCCTTTTACACGTTTTACAGGCAATACATACACACATAACGCTGCGGATATTTATTCAGTGTCATGTCCTCTTGCCCCCCCCAACACAATGCGTCCAGTTTATACTGCAGACTCCGTAAATCATATTTCAGTGCTTGCATACCATTATTCTTGCACGCCCGGGGGATGCTGGGGGGAGGGGTAGTGGCCCAGCCCCTAGCCTGGCAATGTGCCAACTCTGCTGCCTCGCCAATGTAGGCCAGGACGGGGGCTACGCATGGCACAAGGCCTCAACATGGCTATGGTAAGTACAAAGTCCATTGCTTCTTACGCTAACAACTCAAGTCCATTGTTTACTATTGTTAAACACATTAGTTGACAAACATTACTATAATAATGTTTGTGTGCAGATAAGAACTCACGTTGATTGCTTATTATTATTTAAACAATACGTTGCCAGATATTGTGTGCAGATAACAACTCAGGTTCATTGTTTACCATTATGAAACAAGTTGACATGTTACAATAATTATGTTTGTGTACACAAAACTCTTTTTGGATTTTTAGGTTGCTCATTTTTCCCTTTTATGCTGTCTTTTATGACGCTGCCACGGTTCACTGCCAGTCTGTGATTTGATTATTTCTTCAATAAATTTATATTGTTTCCATCGCTCACGTCACGCTATTTCCTCATACGTAGTACTGCCATACTGATAGCTGTGCCATCATCGGGGATTGCTGTGCCCGTCGATGTGTGTGTCTTTGAGTCCATATGTGTGTGCGTGTAGAGCCATGCGTCTTTAACCCCATGTGTGTGTCTGTCATTTTATAACGGACAACGCCCCATGTGTGTGTATGTCAAAGTGGTTATGTGTGTGTGTCAGTCCAAGTATGCGTGTCAGTCCATTTGTGTGCGTATCAATCGCTGTGTGTGTGTGTAAGTCCATGTGTGTGCGTCTTAGTCCATATGTGTGTGTGTAAGTACATGTGTGTTTACGTCAATGTGTGTGTGAGTCCACGTATTGTTGTGTGAGTCGGTGTGTGAGTCGCTGTATGTGTGTACATCCATATATGTGTGTGTATCTTAAGTGCATGTCTATGTGTGTGTGAGTCCATATGTGTGTGTCTGTAAGTCGATGTGTTTGTGTGAGTCGATATGTGTGTGTCTCAGTCCATGTGCGTGTTAGTCAGTGTAACTCCATTTCTTTGCGTGTCTGTAGGTCCATGTGTGCATCTTAGTCCATGCGTGTGCTTTATTGACCTGCTCAAGGCCTATGATACCATCAGTAGGCCTGGCCTCTGGGTTGCTCTTTGTGCTTTCCGAGTCCCTGACCCACTAATCACCATCCTTAAGGACCTTCATGATGGCGAGCCGCCCGCGTCTAAATACGTGGCCGTCAGTCAGAGCCATTCCCTTTCCACCTTGGGGTGCAACAGGGATGTCCTCTGGCTCCCACATTATTTTACATATATTTGGACCACGTAGTTCGTCAAGCCTTCAATGCCTGTACCGGAAGAATTCCCATCTGCTACAGAAACAATGGGAGGCTGATCGATGCCCGGGTGCGGTCAAGGGATGGCACTCTATTGTTCAACCGCGTTCTGTATGCCGATGATCTGCTAATTGCAACTCACTCGGAGGAGGAGTTCGAGGTGCTGCTGCTGAACCTGGAGCTTGCCACCAAGAGGTGGGGGCCTTACCATCAGCCTCACCAAAACTAAGCACCTGCCTGGCTATTTTGTACCATTGGACACTCCACCCCCACAACTCCTAATTGGTGATGGGGCAGTTGTGGAGACAGTGGACAATTTCCCATACCTTGCCAGTGTGCTAATGACCGGCTCCGGTTTAACAGCAAAGGTCTCACTCCGAATCAGTCGAGCTGCATTATCTTTTCATTGGCTGCGTAACACTGTGTGGAAGCTACCTGGTCTATCACTCCGTACGAAGCTTCAGGTCTTCTCGGCCACGGTCATTCCTTCCCTTCTCGATGCTTGCGAAACTTGGACCCCCTAATGGAACATCTTCGCCGATTATAAACATTTAGGATGGCCTGCCTACGATCCATCCTGGGTTTAACCAGGCTGCATTGTGTGAGGAGCTCACAAATCCTTGAAAGATGTGGACAAAGTCCCATCGGTGACCTCCAGCAGGCAAGGCTGTGTTGCCCGAGTCATGTAGCCCGCATGGCCAGCCACCGCATGCCTAAACAGCTTTTGTTCGACCGGATCGAGGGGGCTAAACGGGCGCGGCACGGGCTGGAGAAGACATGGAGTGATCTGGTACAGGATGACTTGGAGCTGAGTCCACTTGCGGATGACTGGTACCAACGGTGTCAAGAGCGGCCTCTGGAGCAGGCTCCTGAAGGACGCTACTGGGCAGTTGGAATCAGTCACCCTCCAACAACAACGGAGGGCGGAGGAGTGACGCTCACAACAACGAGCGGAGCGCCGGGTGGCTAAAGCACAGAAAGTTGCCACAGTAGGGGCCACAGGTGGTGCATCAGCCAGTCGTCTCAGTCAGTCGATCTGTGCCTCTGGGTTTGCCCCCTGACCTCCTGCCAGCGGGCGTTCGACACTTCATGTGGCCTCAAGGTGCATATAGCCTGGCACAAGCATTGTCGTGACGTCACCGCCACTTAGTGGTGAATGGCGGTTTTTGTTCAGTCTATGTATGTATGTGTGAGTCGATTTGTGCGTGTAACTCTGTGTGTGTGAGTCGATTTGCGTGTGTAACTACATGTGTCTGCCTTTTTCGCCCGGGCAATGCCGGGTACTAACCGCTAGTACAATGATAATACTATGTAACACAATTTTTGTTCCTGCGTACAAAGTGTTATTTTTTTTTATTGCTTATGCCTAAAAAGTATAGAAAATCGCTATTATTCCCCACAAACTTTGCTTTGGTGACCAGGACTTTATGTGAACGAAAAGACACAAATTTATCATTGAAAATAGGTAAATTTCAAAATATCACTGTCCTAGTCACAAAAGCAAAGTTTGTGGGGAATAATAGCATTTCCTGTACTTTTGAGGTATATGCAATTAGGAAATAACACTACCCAGGAAGAAAAATGTTTTATTGTTACACAGTGTAATAACTACGCCACCGCTCCCCACATAAATAAACTCTTACAGATGTAGTGACATTGCGGGATGTCACTATGTAGTGCCGGCTCTAGAGAGGCACGGCGTGCGGTGTAACGACATCGCGGATACCATTATGGTGAGTGTAGTACTAGCCCTAAAGGGGCTCGGTGAGCGCTGATTGATATCGCCGAATGGCACCACGCTTGGCGTGTAGTGCCGGCCCTACAGGATAGGGTGTGGGAGTGCCGGCCGTAGGAATGAGGTTACGAAAGGCCATGGCACTCTGGTTGACCCGAGAGGGCACGTGACAAGCTAAGTCCACAAAGGGGCCCAAAATGGGGGCTAGGGGTGGTCACGTGGTCGGGGTCCAGATCTTGCTTGAGGATTCTGAAAGGTGGTCGTGGCCAAGGGCGGAGCCAGCCACACCGCAAAAAATATAAGCCGGGTCCCCCAGAGGAACCGGCGTTGTTGTTCAACCTGAAGAAACGTTCGTCTACGTTCCACCAAGTCTACAACATGTGGAACTGGACCCGAGCTGTGGTCCCGGTCCGTAGTAGCTCGTTACGTTGTAATTAGTGCAGTTAGCCTGGTGGTCACCACCACAGGTTGTTATTCTGTTAAGGGGCAGTTACCCCGTGTGTTGGTGTTAAATAAATGTGTTGCCTCCAAGTGTACGTCTGCGACTCAGTTGAACTCACTACACATACATTTCAAATGAATGCCATGTAAGTGTGGATCACTTTTCAGCAGGTCATTGGAATGATCCAGGTGTCAAGGGATGAATGACTGAGATGTTTGACAGATGCACCAGCTGTGCTTCACACTGTCTTGCTGCATTTTAGGCACCCGGCGTTCCACCCATTCATGTGAGCGTTGCTCCTCCGATCTCACTGTTGTTGCAGAGCAAATATCTTCAACTGACCCGCAGCATATATCTCGGGCCTCCTCCACAGAGGCTGATCATGACACTCCTGGTACCAGTCATCAGCAGGTGTGATCAACTTCACATCATCCAATCTCTTCTGAAGCCAATGCCATGCCTGTTTAGCTCGTAACACCTGGACTAACAGAAGATGCTTGAGCATGCTGTCTGTTAATGCGGGATTCATGACCCAACCAATGCAGCTTGGCCTCCCAAATAAACTCGCTGATTATGTTCTGTACTGATATTTTAGGGATCTGTAAGGTTCTAATACAATCTTGTTTGGTTCAATAGAGGGGATCATAGGCTGGCAAGTCTTAATTATAAGCCAGAACAGACAGTCCTTTAAGTAAGTTAATATTTTGCATCCACAGAGAAAGGAGTAATATCTGTGGCCAAGAAGACTCACAGCTTTGTTTGTTCGTTTATTTCTAAATCCTCTCGTCTTGGTGAGGGTTGTAGCGGCAGCAGATTTAGTAGGGCAGTCCAGACTTCCCTTTCCCTGGCGACAGACTCTGGATCTTCCTGGGGAATTCCCAGGCATTCCCAAATCAGCCAAGCGACATATTCCCACCAGCAAGTCCAGGCCCGGGCCCCGGGGACTTCCCTCAGTGGGACGTGCCCGATAGAGTTCCAGGGGCAGTCTATTGGGGGGCCTCGTTACAGATATTGTATATTGATATCACTCGTGGAATGAGGCCTGGTGGCTCGGTGACCCACGTAACCCATTTGGACCCAGCCTGGAATGGCTGCGTGGCACCGTCCTGTGCGCCCACCATCCACAGTACGAAGAGTGAGAGGCGGGTGCGATGCCAGTATGGCAGGGAGAGGGATGGTCTCAGACAGACTAGACCTTGGTGATGGACACTCACAGCTTTGTATGGCGCAAAAGTCCAGGCAGCTTCCACACAGTGTTACACAGTCTAATGAAAGAATGCTGCTAGACAAATTTAAAGTGAGACTTTGGCTGCCAAACCAGAGCTGGTCGTGAACACATTAACCAGGTATGGGAGCTCCTCCATTACTTGCAGAACTGCCTGATTACTCATGGAGAGTTGAGCAGGTACAGTGTTGTATGACATGAAATTCCCAGGCAGGTGATTTATTTTGGTGGAACATACGCAAGGCCACCTTTCATGATGGAATTATCCGGGCACAGAACGAGATTATCTAACCCGATCTCATTGAGTAGCCATTTCCAGATCATCAGCAGATATAACATGGTTGACCAGGGAACGATCCCTTAACTATAACCAGGCATCGATGCGCGTATCATTTTAACTGTAACGAATGCAATTATTTATATGGCTATTGTGAGCTTCTCAAATTACATAATTAATGAAGATGCTATGTAATGCAATGCATGGGGGCAGAGTGAATTTTTGTCACAAGCCAAATTGAACAGCAAATGGCTCCAACTCCTGGTCACGCAGCTTTAGACGGGCTTGCCCAAAATCATAAAAATCGTCAATGAATGTGAGCAGAGGCAGAGACATAAAAAACAAAGAACAACCCAAAGCCCCAAGCCTCGATATGGTACGATAGACCTTAATTACATAAAAAAGCAGAGACATTACTCTTAATGTTTGATTACTGAGACCTGAGCTAAGCCGGGTAACTTAGTTATTGCTGGATAAATACTATACTTCCGATGAAGTTTGTGTGTGAGTGGGGAGCAGTAGTGCAACGGTTAGCGTGCTGCGCTATGAACCCAGCGAGCCGATTTCTATTCCCAGAGCCAAGCCACAACATTTGGCTGTCGTTTGATGAAGCTGGTTGGAATTACTGTCAAAACGTTGTACTTAGAGTGTTAATGTTGTGGCTTGGCTCTCCAAAACACCGGTGAGATGTACTAGTGCACTACACTACACACTAGTGCTGTACTAGTGACGCATTGGGCACGTTCTGTTTACCTGACAAACCTCTTACTAAATGGCTGTGTCGGGTGGTGGCGGGGTTAACGGCACATTGATTTATTTACGCGATCAATCCCAAACAAACCTGTATATTTGGAGTTTGCGTGTCCCTCTCTCTCCGTGGTCGCGTGGATTCTCCTCCGGATCCTGCGGTTTTCCCTGCACATTTAGAGTCAACATCACCACGCGTTTAGAGTATTTGACCGATAAACATTTCCACACGTTGATAAGCCCACTGCGTTGTGGGCAGGTCGCTTCTGAAAACGAGCGGTGTAGCTCAAGTGGGCTATGCCTGGTAAAATAAAAAAAACGTAGAAATATTTAAAGTAAAAACAAAGTTTCAAAGTAGTGAGCCAGGTGAAGACAAATTAAACTTAAGCAGAGAAATAAAGCAAATGCAATCAGGCGAGGGCAGGAGGCAAGTCCCGCATGGCTAGGCCCCGCGTTGTAATGTTCCAACCTGGACATCGATTCCATACTCGCTGCTACTCAATTGATATCCCTACGAGGGAGAAGGAGCGAGGCTCTACCTGGGTTCACAACTACAACCACAACAACAATCACCACAACAACAACCACAACAACGACGATGTAAACTTCTCACCTCGGAACTCAGTGAGCAAGCGTGCGCGGAGCAGCAGCTACCTGGTAACTCGTGACGTCATGTGGCAGCAGGAGGTGACATGACGTCACTTGCGGGGTTCACACAATCCTCTTCCCCAACGAGCAGCAGGGTAACTGAATATATTATGTTAATGAGAGGGGCCCATGTCAGGTGATGGTGCTTGACTGCTGTCCCCGTACCAAATAAGCATTTTACTGGAACGGAAATCGGTAGACGTGACGTCACGCTCAAAATCCCGGTGGGGGGGTAATTACCTCGGTGACATGACGTCACTAGTGGGGGACACCTCCCCCTCGCATATAATGCCGAGTTAATGAGGGGTGACGTCGGAAAGCGAGACCAGGGTTAGAGTTCAAGTTTATTTAGATTCCATTCCTGTGGCTCCCTCTCTTGAACAGAAACCCATTGGGTGCGTGAGCACAACAACAACGTGAACATTGTGTGTGGACACTGTTTGTTGGCGCAGTCGGGGGCACAGGTGGTGAATTGGCCAGTCATTTAAGTCAGTCGACACATGACACCTGGATCTGCCCCGTGCACATAGCCTGGCACAAGCGCCGTGGTTACGTCACCGCCACTTAGTGGCGAATGGCGGTTGTTACTGTGTATACACTGTGCGTGTACAGACTGTTTGTATACTGTGTGGGCAAACTGTGTGTACGCTGTGTACATGGTGTGTGTAGATCTTGTGGGTACACTGCGCGTGTAGTGTGGGTGGTCCGAATCAGTCGGGCGGCATTATCTTTACATCGGCTGCACTATGCTGTGTGGAAGCTGCCTGGTCTGTCGCTCCACATGAAGCTTCGGTTCTTCTCGGCCAGTCATGCCCTCCCTAATGTAGGCATGTGAAACGTGGACCCCTCTAAATGGAACATCTGCGCCAGTTAGACACATTCAGGCTGTCATGCCTACACTCAGATTGAGGGAAGCCAAGTAGAAGCACATTCTCTATTTATTGCAGAGGTTCAAGGTTCAAATCCGACAGGCACGTCTGGCTACTCAAGGAACATTTAACAAAATATGCACCGTCTGCTTAACAGTGGATGTAAAACATACGATTGTGTCATTCAAAACGCATAGGTCATTGCATGTTGGTGTCATGGTCAATATTTGGGCAATTTCAAACATTATCCAGAAATTACAAAATGAAGATTACACATCAATCATCACCCCCTACTGACAGACTCATGCCCATATGCAGGTGACAGCAGTGTCACCTTATGACAGAGGCAGCTGCCACTTGAAGGTGCTCTTCGAACGTTTGTGATGAGATATGAAACTGAGTTGCTGAGGCAATTAAGCAAGCACCATATCAATGCAAATATAAATATAACAGTGGAATACTTGGAAGCTTATTGGCTCTTGTTCCTGATTATTCATCTACCCAACCCACAGGTCAACAAATACTCGCCGCTCTTACTCTGCAGGTTGAACCCAGGAATTCAGTGTTCAATTTCACGTTCTTTTCATTAAAGGCCTGTGACAAAGGTGCATCTATTGGAGCTTCATTGTCTCAAGCCTACCCATCTACCGGGTCTCCATTTGACTTTGTATTGTCTAAGAAGTCCACCCACACCTCCACAAACTGCTGGGAGTTGCCTAGCTCTGCCTCGCAGTCAGAATTCTCCTCCTGCTTCACGTTGTCTCCATCGATGTGAAGGTACGATTTTGGAGTTGAATCTTCATCTTCACAGTTTACCGTCACTTTTTCGCTCTTCACCATCACTTCACATTTCACCTTCACTTCTTCGCTCTTCATCACTTCTTCACATTTCACCTTCGCCTCTTCACATTTCACCTTGATACCTTTAAACGTGTCCAAGCTGGGATTCACTTCTGGTTTCATGAGGGATGGGCTCATTGCAGCACTTTGACTTTCACAAGCCAATTTCAGACTCCATTTCTTGGGGATCTTCTGATGCTTGTGTGTCCTCTGGTGTCTTTTAAGAATTGATGACTGTGCAAACGCCTTCCCACACAGAGTGCAACTGAAGGGTTTCTCTCCCGTGTGTGTTCTCTGGTGTCTATGAAGACCTGATGACTGTGCAAATGCCTTGTCACACACAGTGCACTTGAAGGGTTTCTCTCCCATGTGTGTTCTCTGGTGTAATTGAAGATGTTGTGAATGTGCAAACGCCTTCCCACACACAGTGCACTTGAAGGGTTTCTCTCCAGTGTGTGTTCTCTGGTGTAATTTAAGATATAGTGATTGTGCAAACGCCTTCCCACATAGAGTGCAACTGAAGGGTTTCTCTCCCGTGTGTGTTCTCTGGTGTATTTTAAGATGTTGTGAATGTGCAAACGCCTTCCCACACAAAGTGCAACTGAATGGTTTCTCTCTTGTGTGAGTTCTCTGATGTAATACAAGAGCAGATGACTGTGAAAACGCCTTCCCGCACAGACTGCACTTGAAGGGTTTTTCTCCTGTGTGTGTTATCCGGTGTTTTTTAAGAGATTTATCTGAAAATGCCTTCCCACACACACTGCACTTGAAGGGTTTATCTCCCGTGTGTGTTCTCTGGTGCGATACAAGACCAGATGACTGTGAAAACGCCTTCCCGCATAGACTGCACCTGAAGAGTTTCTCTCCCGTGTGTGTTCTCTGGTGGTTCCTAAGAACTGATGAATGTGAAAATGCCTTGTCACACACAGTGCACTTGAAGGGTTTCTCTCCTGTGTGAGTTCTCTGGTGCTGTGTTAAATGTCCAACACGATCCGTGCTGTATGCACGCTGGTCGCGTTGTTGCCTTTTTGTACCGAGCTGCGCTGAGTGCCTTTGTTCCATCAAACCAATTCTGCAGAGGAAGCGTCAGCTGCAGACAGAAAAAAGAGAATATCCACACTATCTACGTCAGTATTGAGGCACAAAGGAATGCATATATACAGTCACACATGACTTGCATGTCTATACTCATTCATATATTCATGATAATATGAAAAAGATTCCCAAATTCATCACACAGGCACACAATTAGAGGGCCAATGGTCAACCTGGAAGCCCTAGTATCTTCAAAATGAATGTTAACCTAAAACTCCAAGCACACAATTTCAGTTTTCTGGCTACAAAAAGAATATTTATAAAAGAAAAATGCAGCTAACATAGAAAAGGGTGTTGAAAATAATACTATTTTTATTATGCAGAAATGCATAAATTAATGTTCAATCGCTAACTTAGAGGCATGAAGCCAGGCTCAGATTTCCTTGAATGCTGGGATGAACAGATCTAACTTCAGATGCATATGTGCAGTGTTAATTTCCTGTTTCCATTCTCCTAAAAATTTCCAGAGGAAAAAAAGTATATACTATTGTTTTGATTTAACCTCCGTGTTCAATCGAGTTAATATACTTTACTGCAAATATAAACTTGACACTGTAACACACACTGGCATGGAAAAAAGGTGGTGGTGTGTTCAGAACCATGCCTGGCCACCTTCATATGCTCATTATTAATGCTTCCCCACAATAAGTTAAGTTTTCATGAATCAATCACGTTTGTTGTCGGAGATAATCAAACTTTAATTGTGATAACACTATGTAACACAATTTTTGTTCCTGGGTACTAAGTGTTATTTTTCTATTGCTTATGCCTAAGAGTCTAGAAATTGGCTATTATTCCCCACAAATTTTGCTTTTGTGACCAGAATTGTACGTGAACGAAAATAACAAATTCACCTGTTTTTTCATTGAAAAGAGGTACATTTCTAAATATCACTGTCCTGGTCACAAAAGCAAAGTTTGTGGGGAATAGCCATTTTTTGTACTTAAGAGGCAAAAGCAATTAGGAAATAACACATACTACCCAGGAACAAGACATTTTTTTTGTTACACAGTGGAAAAACTGCACCACCGCACCCCACATAGATAAACTCTTACATACACATATATTTCACATGAATGCCATGTAAGTGTGGATCACTTGTCAGCATGTCATAATGATCCAGGTGTCAAGGGATGACTGACCAAGATGATTAACAGATGCACCAGCTGTTTTTCCTGCTGTCTTGCTGCATTTGAGGCACCCAGCGTTCCCACCCATTCATGTGATCGTTGCTACTCCAACCTCATTGTTGTTGCAGAGCAAATACCTCCAACTCCCCTGCAGCATATGTCACGGGCCTCTTTGAGAGGCCGATCTTGACAGCAGGTCTGATCAACTCCACATCCTCCAATCTCTTCTCTAGCCAATGCCATGCCCGTTTAGCCCGTAACATCTGGACTAACAGAAGATGATTGTGCATGCTGTCTGTTTATGCAGAATTCATGACCCAACCAATGCAGCCTCCCCTGCAAAAGTCTCAGATTATATTCTGTACTGATATTTTAGGGCTCTGTAAGGTTATAATACAATCTTGTTTGGTTCAATAGAGGGGATCATAGGCTGGCCAGTCTTAATTATAAGCCAGAACAGACGGTCCTTTAAATAAGTTAATATTTTGCATCTACAGAGAAAGGAGTAATATCTGTGGCCAAGAAGACTCGCAGCTTTGTTTGTTCGTTTATTTCTAAATCCTCTTGTCTTGGTGAGGGTGTAGCGGCAGCACATTTAGTAGGGCAGTCCAGACTTCCCTTTCCCTGGCGACAGACTCTGGATCTTCCTGGGGAATTCCCAGGCATTCCCAAATCAGCCAAGCGACATATTCCCACCAGCAAGTCCTGGCCCGGGCCCCGGGGACTTCCCTCAGTGGGACGTGCCCGATAGAGTTCCAGGGGCAGTCTATTGGGGGGCCTCGTTACAGATATTGTATATTGATATCACTCGTGGAATGAGGCCTGGTGGCTCGGTGACCCACGTAACCCATTTGGACCCAGCCTGGAATGGCTGCGTGGCACCGTCCTGTGCGCCCACCATCCACAGTACGAAGAGTGAGAGGCGGGTGCGATGCCAGTATGGCAGGGAGAGGGATGGTCTCAGACAGACTAGACCTTGGTGATGGACACTCACAGCTTTGTATGGCGCAAAAGTCCAGGCAGCTTCCACACAGTGTTACACAGTCTAATGAAAGAATGCTGCTAGACAAATTTAAAGTGAGACTTTGGCTGCCAAACCAGAGCTGGTCGTGAACACATTAACCAGGTATGGGAGCTCCTCCATTACTTGCAGAACTCCCTGATTACTCATGGAGAGTTGAGCAGGTACAGTGTTGTATGACATGAAATTCCCCGGCAGGTGATTTATTTTGGTGGAACATACGCAAGGCCACCTTTCGTGATGGAATTATCCAGGCACAGAACGAGATTATCTAACCCCATCTCCTTGAGTAGCCATTTCCAGATCATCAGCAGATATAACATGGTTGACCAGGGAACGATCCCTTAACTATAACCAGGCATCGATGCGCGTATCATTTTAACTGTAACGAATGCAATTATTTATATGGCTATTGTGAGCTTCTCAAATTACATAATTAATGAAGATGCTATGTAATGCAATGCATGGGGGCAGAGTGAATTTTTGTCACAAGCCAAATTGAACAGCAAATGGCTCCAACTCCTGGTCACGCAGCTTTAGACGGGCTTGCCCAAAATCATAAAAATCGTCAATGAATGTGAGCAGAGGCAGAGACATAAAAAACAAAGAACAACCCAAAGCCCCAAGCCTCGATATGGTACGATAGACCTTAATTACATAAAAAAGCAGAGACATTACTCTTAATGTTTGATTACTGAGACCTGAGCTAAGCCGGGTAACTTAGTTATTGCTGGATAAATACTATACTTCCGATGAAGTTTGTGTGTGAGTGGGGAGCAGTAGTGCAACGGTTAGCGTGCTGCGCTATGAACCCAGCGAGCCGATTTCTATTCCCAGAGCCAAGCCACAACATTTGGCTGTCGTTTGATGAAGCTGGTTGGAATTACTGTCAAAACGTTGTACTTAGAGTGTTAATGTTGTGGCTTGGCTCTCCAAAACACCGGTGAGATGTACTAGTGCACTACACTACACACTAGTGCTGTACTAGTGACGCATTGGGCACGTTCTGTTTACCTGACAAACCTCTTACTAAATGGCTGTGTCGGGTGGTGGCGGGGTTAACGGCACATTGATTTATTTACGCGATCAATCCCAAACAAACCTGTATATTTGGAGTTTGCGTGTCCCTCTCTCTCCGTGGTCGCGTGGATTCTCCTCCGGATCCTGCGGTTTTCCCTGCACATTTAGAGTCAACATCACCACGCGTTTAGAGTATTTGACCGATAAACATTTCCACACGTTGATAAGCCCACTGCGTTGTGGGCAGGTCGCTTCTGAAAACGAGCGGTGTAGCTCAAGTGGGCTATGCCTGGTAAAATAAAAAAAACGTAGAAATATTTAAAGTAAAAACAAAGTTTCAAAGTAGTGAGCCAGGTGAAGACAAATTAAACTTAAGCAGAGAAATAAAGCAAATGCAATCAGGCGAGGGCAGGAGGCAAGTCCCGCATGGCTAGGCCCCGCGTTGTAATGTTCCAACCTGGACATCGATTCCATACTCGCTGCTACTCAATTGATATCCCTACGAGGGAGAAGGAGCGAGGCTCTACCTGGGTTCACAACTACAACCACAACAACAATCACCACAACAACAACCACAACAACGACGATGTAAACTTCTCACCTCGGAACTCAGTGAGCAAGCGTGCGCGGAGCAGCAGCTACCTGGTAACTCGTGACGTCATGTGGCAGCAGGAGGTGACATGACGTCACTTGCGGGGTTCACACAATCCTCTTCCCCAACGAGCAGCAGGGTAACTGAATATATTATGTTAATGAGAGGGGCCCATGTCAGGTGATGGTGCTTGACTGCTGTCCCCGTACCAAATAAGCATTTTACTGGAACGGAAATCGGTAGACGTGACGTCACGCTCAAAATCCCGGTGGGGGGGTAATTACCTCGGTGACATGACGTCACTAGTGGGGGACACCTCCCCCTCGCATATAATGCCGAGTTAATGAGGGGTGACGTCGGAAAGCGAGACCAGGGTTAGAGTTCAAGTTTATTTAGATTCCATTCCTGTGGCTCCCTCTCTTGAACAGAAACCCATTGGGTGCGTGAGCACAACAACAACGTGAACATTGTGTGTGGACACTGTTTGTTGGCGCAGTCGGGGGCACAGGTGGTGAATTGGCCAGTCATTTAAGTCAGTCGACACATGACACCTGGATCTGCCCCGTGCACATAGCCTGGCACAAGCGCCGTGGTTACGTCACCGCCACTTAGTGGCGAATGGCGGTTGTTACTGTGTATACACTGTGCGTGTACAGACTGTTTGTATACTGTGTGGGCAAACTGTGTGTACGCTGTGTACATGGTGTGTGTAGATCTTGTGGGTACACTGCGCGTGTAGTGTGGGTGGTCCGAATCAGTCGGGCGGCATTATCTTTACATCGGCTGCACTATGCTGTGTGGAAGCTGCCTGGTCTGTCGCTCCACATGAAGCTTCGGTTCTTCTCGGCCAGTCATGCCCTCCCTAATGTAGGCATGTGAAACGTGGACCCCTCTAAATGGAACATCTGCGCCAGTTAGACACATTCAGGCTGTCATGCCTACACTCAGATTGAGGGAAGCCAAGTAGAAGCACATTCTCTATTTATTGCAGAGGTTCAAGGTTCAAATCCGACAGGCACGTCTGGCTACTCAAGGAACATTTAACAAAATATGCACCGTCTGCTTAACAGTGGATGTAAAACATACGATTGTGTTATTCAAAACGCATAGGTCATTGCATGTTGGTGTCATGGTCAATATTTGGGCAATTTCAAACATTATCCAGAAATTACAAAATGAAGATTACACATCAATCATCACCCCCTACTGACAGACTCATGCCCATATGCAGGTGACAGCAGTGTCACCTTATGACAGAGGCAGCTGCCACTTGAAGGTGCTCTTCGAACGTTTGTGATGAGATATGAAACTGAGTTGCTGAGGCAATTAAGCAAGCACCATATCAATGCAAATATAAATATAACAGTGGAATACTTGGAAGCTTATTGGCTCTTGTTCCTGATTATTCATCTACCCAACCCACAGGTCAACAAATACTCGCCGCTCTTACTCTGCAGGTTGAACCCAGGAATTCAGTGTTCAATTTCACGTTCTTTTCATTAAAGGCCTGTGACAAAGGTGCATCTATTGGAGCTTCATTGTCTCAAGCCTACCCATCTACCGGGTCTCCATTTGACTTTGTATTGTCTAAGAAGTCCACCCACACCTCCACAAACTGCTGGGAGTTGCCTAGCTCTGCCTCGCAGTCAGAATTCTCCTCCTGCTTCACGTTGTCTCCATCGATGTGAAGGTACGATTTTGGAGTTGAATCTTCATCTTCACAGTTTACCGTCACTTTTTCGCTCTTCACCATCACTTCACATTTCACCTTCACTTCTTCGCTCTTCATCACTTCTTCACATTTCACCTTCGCCTCTTCACATTTCACCTTGATACCTTTAAACGTGTCCAAGCTGGGATTCACTTCTGGTTTCATGAGGGATGGGCTCATTGCAGCACTTTGACTTTCACAAGCCAATTTCAGACTCCATTTCTTGGGGATCTTCTGATGCTTGTGTGTCCTCTGGTGTCTTTTAAGAATTGATGACTGTGCAAACGCCTTCCCACACAGAGTGCAACTGAAGGGTTTCTCTCCCGTGTGTGTTCTCTGGTGTCTATGAAGACCTGATGACTGTGCAAATGCCTTGTCACACACAGTGCACTTGAAGGGTTTCTCTCCCATGTGTGTTCTCTGGTGTAATTGAAGATGTTGTGAATGTGCAAACGCCTTCCCACACACAGTGCACTTGAAGGGTTTCTCTCCAGTGTGTGTTCTCTGGTGTAATTTAAGATATAGTGATTGTGCAAACGCCTTCCCACATAGAGTGCAACTGAAGGGTTTCTCTCCCGTGTGTGTTCTCTGGTGTATTTTAAGATGTTGTGAATGTGCAAACGCCTTCCCACACAAAGTGCAACTGAATGGTTTCTCTCTTGTGTGAGTTCTCTGATGTAATACAAGAGCAGATGACTGTGAAAACGCCTTCCCGCACAGACTGCACTTGAAGGGTTTTTCTCCTGTGTGTGTTATCCGGTGTTTTTTAAGAGATTTATCTGAAAATGCCTTCCCACACACACTGCACTTGAAGGGTTTATCTCCCGTGTGTGTTCTCTGGTGCGATACAAGACCAGATGACTGTGAAAACGCCTTCCCGCATAGACTGCACCTGAAGAGTTTCTCTCCCGTGTGTGTTCTCTGGTGGTTCCTAAGAACTGATGAATGTGAAAATGCCTTGTCACACACAGTGCACTTGAAGGGTTTCTCTCCTGTGTGAGTTCTCTGGTGCTGTGTTAAATGTCCAACACGATCCGTGCTGTATGCACGCTGGTCGCGTTGTTGCCTTTTTGTACCGAGCTGCGCTGAGTGCCTTTGTTCCATCAAACCAATTCTGCAGAGGAAGCGTCAGCTGCAGACAGAAAAAAGAGAATATCCACACTATCTACGTCAGTATTGAGGCACAAAGGAATGCATATATACAGTCACACATGACTTGCATGTCTATACTCATTCATATATTCATGATAATATGAAAAAGATTCCCAAATTCATCACACAGGCACACAATTAGAGGGCCAATGGTCAACCTGGAAGCCCTAGTATCTTCAAAATGAATGTTAACCTAAAACTCCAAGCACACAATTTCAGTTTTCTGGCTACAAAAAGAATATTTATAAAAGAAAAATGCAGCTAACATAGAAAAGGGTGTTGAAAATAATACTATTTTTATTATGCAGAAATGCATAAATTAATGTTCAATCGCTAACTTAGAGGCATGAAGCCAGGCTCAGATTTCCTTGAATGCTGGGATGAACAGATCTAACTTCAGATGCATATGTGCAGTGTTAATTTCCTGTTTCCATTCTCCTAAAAATTTCCAGAGGAAAAAAAGTATATACTATTGTTTTGATTTAACCTCCGTGTTCAATCGAGTTAATATACTTTACTGCAAATATAAACTTGACACTGTAACACACACTGGCATGGAAAAAAGGTGGTGGTGTGTTCAGAACCATGCCTGGCCACCTTCATATGCTCATTATTAATGCTTCCCCACAATAAGTTAAGTTTTCATGAATCAATCACGTTTGTTGTCGGAGATAATCAAACTTTAATTGTGATAACACTATGTAACACAATTTTTGTTCCTGGGTACTAAGTGTTATTTTTCTATTGCTTATGCCTAAGAGTCTAGAAATTGGCTATTATTCCCCACAAATTTTGCTTTTGTGACCAGAATTGTACGTGAACGAAAATAACAAATTCACCTGTTTTTTCATTGAAAAGAGGTACATTTCTAAATATCACTGTCCTGGTCACAAAAGCAAAGTTTGTGGGGAATAGCCATTTTTTGTACTTAAGAGGCAAAAGCAATTAGGAAATAACACATACTACCCAGGAACAAGACATTTTTTTTGTTACACAGTGGAAAAACTGCACCACCGCACCCCACATAGATAAACTCTTACATACACATATATTTCACATGAATGCCATGTAAGTGTGGATCACTTGTCAGCATGTCATAATGATCCAGGTGTCAAGGGATGACTGACCAAGATGATTAACAGATGCACCAGCTGTTTTTCCTGCTGTCTTGCTGCATTTGAGGCACCCAGCGTTCCCACCCATTCATGTGATCGTTGCTACTCCAACCTCATTGTTGTTGCAGAGCAAATACCTCCAACTCCCCTGCAGCATATGTCACGGGCCTCTTTGAGAGGCCGATCTTGACAGCAGGTCTGATCAACTCCACATCCTCCAATCTCTTCTCTAGCCAATGCCATGCCCGTTTAGCCCGTAACATCTGGACTAACAGAAGATGATTGTGCATGCTGTCTGTTTATGCAGAATTCATGACCCAACCAATGCAGCCTCCCCTGCAAAAGTCTCAGATTATATTCTGTACTGATATTTTAGGGCTCTGTAAGGTTATAATACAATCTTGTTTGGTTCAATAGAGGGGATCATAGGCTGGCCAGTCTTAATTATAAGCCAGAACAGACGGTCCTTTAAATAAGTTAATATTTTGCATCTACAGAGAAAGGAGTAATATCTGTGGCCAAGAAGACTCGCAGCTTTGTTTGTTCGTTTATTTCTAAATCCTCTTGTCTTGGTGAGGGTGTAGCGGCAGCACATTTAGTAGGGCAGTCCAGACTTCCCTTTCCCTGGCGACAGACTCTGGATCTTCCTGGGGAATTCCCAGGCATTCCCAAATCAGCCAAGCGACATATTCCCACCAGCAAGTCCTGGCCCGGGCCCCGGGGACTTCCCTCAGTGGGACGTGCCCGATAGAGTTCCAGGGGCAGTCTATTGGGGGGCCTCGTTACAGATATTGTATATTGATATCACTCGTGGAATGAGGCCTGGTGGCTCGGTGACCCACGTAACCCATTTGGACCCAGCCTGGAATGGCTGCGTGGCACCGTCCTGTGCGCCCACCATCCACAGTACGAAGAGTGAGAGGCGGGTGCGATGCCAGTATGGCAGGGAGAGGGATGGTCTCAGACAGACTAGACCTTGGTGATGGACACTCACAGCTTTGTATGGCGCAAAAGTCCAGGCAGCTTCCACACAGTGTTACACAGTCTAATGAAAGAATGCTGCTAGACAAATTTAAAGTGAGACTTTGGCTGCCAAACCAGAGCTGGTCGTGAACACATTAACCAGGTATGGGAGCTCCTCCATTACTTGCAGAACTCCCTGATTACTCATGGAGAGTTGAGCAGGTACAGTGTTGTATGACATGAAATTCCCCGGCAGGTGATTTATTTTGGTGGAACATACGCAAGGCCACCTTTCGTGATGGAATTATCCAGGCACAGAACGAGATTATCTAACCCCATCTCCTTGAGTAGCCATTTCCAGATCATCAGCAGATATAACATGGTTGACCAGGGAACGATCCCTTAACTATAACCAGGCATCGATGCGCGTATCATTTTAACTGTAACGAATGCAATTATTTATATGGCTATTGTGAGCTTCTCAAATTACATAATTAATGAAGATGCTATGTAATGCAATGCATGGGGGCAGAGTGAATTTTTGTCACAAGCCAAATTGAACAGCAAATGGCTCCAACTCCTGGTCACGCAGCTTTAGACGGGCTTGCCCAAAATCATAAAAATCGTCAATGAATGTGAGCAGAGGCAGAGACATAAAAAACAAAGAACAACCCAAAGCCCCAAGCCTCGATATGGTACGATAGACCTTAATTACATAAAAAAGCAGAGACATTACTCTTAATGTTTGATTACTGAGACCTGAGCTAAGCCGGGTAACTTAGTTATTGCTGGATAAATACTATACTTCCGATGAAGTTTGTGTGTGAGTGGGGAGCAGTAGTGCAACGGTTAGCGTGCTGCGCTATGAACCCAGCGAGCCGATTTCTATTCCCAGAGCCAAGCCACAACATTTGGCTGTCGTTTGATGAAGCTGGTTGGAATTACTGTCAAAACGTTGTACTTAGAGTGTTAATGTTGTGGCTTGGCTCTCCAAAACACCGGTGAGATGTACTAGTGCACTACACTACACACTAGTGCTGTACTAGTGACGCATTGGGCACGTTCTGTTTACCTGACAAACCTCTTACTAAATGGCTGTGTCGGGTGGTGGCGGGGTTAACGGCACATTGATTTATTTACGCGATCAATCCCAAACAAACCTGTATATTTGGAGTTTGCGTGTCCCTCTCTCTCCGTGGTCGCGTGGATTCTCCTCCGGATCCTGCGGTTTTCCCTGCACATTTAGAGTCAACATCACCACGCGTTTAGAGTATTTGACCGATAAACATTTCCACACGTTGATAAGCCCACTGCGTTGTGGGCAGGTCGCTTCTGAAAACGAGCGGTGTAGCTCAAGTGGGCTATGCCTGGTAAAATAAAAAAAACGTAGAAATATTTAAAGTAAAAACAAAGTTTCAAAGTAGTGAGCCAGGTGAAGACAAATTAAACTTAAGCAGAGAAATAAAGCAAATGCAATCAGGCGAGGGCAGGAGGCAAGTCCCGCATGGCTAGGCCCCGCGTTGTAATGTTCCAACCTGGACATCGATTCCATACTCGCTGCTACTCAATTGATATCCCTACGAGGGAGAAGGAGCGAGGCTCTACCTGGGTTCACAACTACAACCACAACAACAATCACCACAACAACAACCACAACAACGACGATGTAAACTTCTCACCTCGGAACTCAGTGAGCAAGCGTGCGCGGAGCAGCAGCTACCTGGTAACTCGTGACGTCATGTGGCAGCAGGAGGTGACATGACGTCACTTGCGGGGTTCACACAATCCTCTTCCCCAACGAGCAGCAGGGTAACTGAATATATTATGTTAATGAGAGGGGCCCATGTCAGGTGATGGTGCTTGACTGCTGTCCCCGTACCAAATAAGCATTTTACTGGAACGGAAATCGGTAGACGTGACGTCACGCTCAAAATCCCGGTGGGGGGGTAATTACCTCGGTGACATGACGTCACTAGTGGGGGACACCTCCCCCTCGCATATAATGCCGAGTTAATGAGGGGTGACGTCGGAAAGCGAGACCAGGGTTAGAGTTCAAGTTTATTTAGATTCCATTCCTGTGGCTCCCTCTCTTGAACAGAAACCCATTGGGTGCGTGAGCACAACAACAACGTGAACATTGTGTGTGGACACTGTTTGTTGGCGCAGTCGGGGGCACAGGTGGTGAATTGGCCAGTCATTTAAGTCAGTCGACACATGACACCTGGATCTGCCCCGTGCACATAGCCTGGCACAAGCGCCGTGGTTACGTCACCGCCACTTAGTGGCGAATGGCGGTTGTTACTGTGTATACACTGTGCGTGTACAGACTGTTTGTATACTGTGTGGGCAAACTGTGTGTACGCTGTGTACATGGTGTGTGTAGATCTTGTGGGTACACTGCGCGTGTAGTGTGGGTGGTCCGAATCAGTCGGGCGGCATTATCTTTACATCGGCTGCACTATGCTGTGTGGAAGCTGCCTGGTCTGTCGCTCCACATGAAGCTTCGGTTCTTCTCGGCCAGTCATGCCCTCCCTAATGTAGGCATGTGAAACGTGGACCCCTCTAAATGGAACATCTGCGCCAGTTAGACACATTCAGGCTGTCATGCCTACACTCAGATTGAGGGAAGCCAAGTAGAAGCACATTCTCTATTTATTGCAGAGGTTCAAGGTTCAAATCCGACAGGCACGTCTGGCTACTCAAGGAACATTTAACAAAATATGCACCGTCTGCTTAACAGTGGATGTAAAACATACGATTGTGTCATTCAAAACGCATAGGTCATTGCATGTTGGTGTCATGGTCAATATTTGGGCAATTTCAAACATTATCCAGAAATTACAAAATGAAGATTACACATCAATCATCACCCCCTACTGACAGACTCATGCCCATATGCAGGTGACAGCAGTGTCACCTTATGACAGAGGCAGCTGCCACTTGAAGGTGCTCTTCGAACGTTTGTGATGAGATATGAAACTGAGTTGCTGAGGCAATTAAGCAAGCACCATATCAATGCAAATATAAATATAACAGTGGAATACTTGGAAGCTTATTGGCTCTTGTTCCTGATTATTCATCTACCCAACCCACAGGTCAACAAATACTCGCCGCTCTTACTCTGCAGGTTGAACCCAGGAATTCAGTGTTCAATTTCACGTTCTTTTCATTAAAGGCCTGTGACAAAGGTGCATCTATTGGAGCTTCATTGTCTCAAGCCTACCCATCTACCGGGTCTCCATTTGACTTTGTATTGTCTAAGAAGTCCACCCACACCTCCACAAACTGCTGGGAGTTGCCTAGCTCTGCCTCGCAGTCAGAATTCTCCTCCTGCTTCACGTTGTCTCCATCGATGTGAAGGTACGATTTTGGAGTTGAATCTTCATCTTCACAGTTTACCGTCACTTTTTCGCTCTTCACCATCACTTCACATTTCACCTTCACTTCTTCGCTCTTCATCACTTCTTCACATTTCACCTTCGCCTCTTCACATTTCACCTTGATACCTTTAAACGTGTCCAAGCTGGGATTCACTTCTGGTTTCATGAGGGATGGGCTCATTGCAGCACTTTGACTTTCACAAGCCAATTTCAGACTCCATTTCTTGGGGATCTTCTGATGCTTGTGTGTCCTCTGGTGTCTTTTAAGAATTGATGACTGTGCAAACGCCTTCCCACACAGAGTGCAACTGAAGGGTTTCTCTCCCGTGTGTGTTCTCTGGTGTCTATGAAGACCTGATGACTGTGCAAATGCCTTGTCACACACAGTGCACTTGAAGGGTTTCTCTCCCATGTGTGTTCTCTGGTGTAATTGAAGATGTTGTGAATGTGCAAACGCCTTCCCACACACAGTGCACTTGAAGGGTTTCTCTCCAGTGTGTGTTCTCTGGTGTAATTTAAGATATAGTGATTGTGCAAACGCCTTCCCACATAGAGTGCAACTGAAGGGTTTCTCTCCCGTGTGTGTTCTCTGGTGTATTTTAAGATGTTGTGAATGTGCAAACGCCTTCCCACACAAAGTGCAACTGAATGGTTTCTCTCTTGTGTGAGTTCTCTGATGTAATACAAGAGCAGATGACTGTGAAAACGCCTTCCCGCACAGACTGCACTTGAAGGGTTTTTCTCCTGTGTGTGTTATCCGGTGTTTTTTAAGAGATTTATCTGAAAATGCCTTCCCACACACACTGCACTTGAAGGGTTTATCTCCCGTGTGTGTTCTCTGGTGCGATACAAGACCAGATGACTGTGAAAACGCCTTCCCGCATAGACTGCACCTGAAGAGTTTCTCTCCCGTGTGTGTTCTCTGGTGGTTCCTAAGAACTGATGAATGTGAAAATGCCTTGTCACACACAGTGCACTTGAAGGGTTTCTCTCCTGTGTGAGTTCTCTGGTGCTGTGTTAAATGTCCAACACGATCCGTGCTGTATGCACGCTGGTCGCGTTGTTGCCTTTTTGTACCGAGCTGCGCTGAGTGCCTTTGTTCCATCAAACCAATTCTGCAGAGGAAGCGTCAGCTGCAGACAGAAAAAAGAGAATATCCACACTATCTACGTCAGTATTGAGGCACAAAGGAATGCATATATACAGTCACACATGACTTGCATGTCTATACTCATTCATATATTCATGATAATATGAAAAAGATTCCCAAATTCATCACACAGGCACACAATTAGAGGGCCAATGGTCAACCTGGAAGCCCTAGTATCTTCAAAATGAATGTTAACCTAAAACTCCAAGCACACAATTTCAGTTTTCTGGCTACAAAAAGAATATTTATAAAAGAAAAATGCAGCTAACATAGAAAAGGGTGTTGAAAATAATACTATTTTTATTATGCAGAAATGCATAAATTAATGTTCAATCGCTAACTTAGAGGCATGAAGCCAGGCTCAGATTTCCTTGAATGCTGGGATGAACAGATCTAACTTCAGATGCATATGTGCAGTGTTAATTTCCTGTTTCCATTCTCCTAAAAATTTCCAGAGGAAAAAAAGTATATACTATTGTTTTGATTTAACCTCCGTGTTCAATCGAGTTAATATACTTTACTGCAAATATAAACTTGACACTGTAACACACACTGGCATGGAAAAAAGGTGGTGGTGTGTTCAGAACCATGCCTGGCCACCTTCATATGCTCATTATTAATGCTTCCCCACAATAAGTTAAGTTTTCATGAATCAATCACGTTTGTTGTCGGAGATAATCAAACTTTAATTGTGATAACACTATGTAACACAATTTTTGTTCCTGGGTACTAAGTGTTATTTTTCTATTGCTTATGCCTAAGAGTCTAGAAATTGGCTATTATTCCCCACAAATTTTGCTTTTGTGACCAGAATTGTACGTGAACGAAAATAACAAATTCACCTGTTTTTTCATTGAAAAGAGGTACATTTCTAAATATCACTGTCCTGGTCACAAAAGCAAAGTTTGTGGGGAATAGCCATTTTTTGTACTTAAGAGGCAAAAGCAATTAGGAAAAAACACATACTACCCAGGAACAAGACATTTTTTTTGTTACACAGTGGAAAAACTGCACCACCGCTCCCCACATAGATAAACTCTTACATACACATATATTTCACATGAATGCCATGTAAGTGTGGATCACTTGTCAGCATGTCATAATGATCCAGGTGTCAAGGGATGACTGACCAAGATGATTAACAGATGCACCAGCTGTTTTTCCTGCTGTCTTGCTGCATTTGAGGCACCCAGCGTTCCCACCCATTCATGTGATCGTTGCTACTCCAACCTCATTGTTGTTGCAGAGCAAATACCTCCAACTCCCCTGCAGCATATGTCACGGGCCTCTTTGAGAGGCCGATCTTGACAGCAGGTCTGATCAACTCCACATCCTCCAATCTCTTCTCTAGCCAATGCCATGCCCGTTTAGCCCGTAACATCTGGACTAACAGAAGATGATTGTGCATGCTGTCTGTTTATGCAGAATTCATGACCCAACCAATGCAGCCTCCCCTGCAAAAGTCTCAGATTATATTCTGTACTGATATTTTAGGGCTCTGTAAGGTTATAATACAATCTTGTTTGGTTCAATAGAGGGGATCATAGGCTGGCCAGTCTTAATTATAAGCCAGAACAGACGGTCCTTTAAATAAGTTAATATTTTGCATCTACAGAGAAAGGAGTAATATCTGTGGCCAAGAAGACTCGCAGCTTTGTTTGTTCGTTTATTTCTAAATCCTCTTGTCTTGGTGAGGGTGTAGCGGCAGCACATTTAGTAGGGCAGTCCAGACTTCCCTTTCCCTGGCGACAGACTCTGGATCTTCCTGGGGAATTCCCAGGCATTCCCAAATCAGCCAAGCGACATATTCCCACCAGCAAGTCCTGGCCCGGGCCCCGGGGACTTCCCTCAGTGGGACGTGCCCGATAGAGTTCCAGGGGCAGTCTATTGGGGGGCCTCGTTACAGATATTGTATATTGATATCACTCGTGGAATGAGGCCTGGTGGCTCGGTGACCCACGTAACCCATTTGGACCCAGCCTGGAATGGCTGCGTGGCACCGTCCTGTGCGCCCACCATCCACAGTACGAAGAGTGAGAGGCGGGTGCGATGCCAGTATGGCAGGGAGAGGGATGGTCTCAGACAGACTAGACCTTGGTGATGGACACTCACAGCTTTGTATGGCGCAAAAGTCCAGGCAGCTTCCACACAGTGTTACACAGTCTAATGAAAGAATGCTGCTAGACAAATTTAAAGTGAGACTTTGGCTGCCAAACCAGAGCTGGTCGTGAACACATTAACCAGGTATGGGAGCTCCTCCATTACTTGCAGAACTCCCTGATTACTCATGGAGAGTTGAGCAGGTACAGTGTTGTATGACATGAAATTCCCCGGCAGGTGATTTATTTTGGTGGAACATACGCAAGGCCACCTTTCGTGATGGAATTATCCAGGCACAGAACGAGATTATCTAACCCCATCTCCTTGAGTAGCCATTTCCAGATCATCAGCAGATATAACATGGTTGACCAGGGAACGATCCCTTAACTATAACCAGGCATCAATGCGCGTATCATTTTAACTGTAACGAATGCAATTATTTATATGGCTATTGTGAGCTTCTCAAACTACATAATTAATGAAGATGCTATGTAATGTAATGCATGGGGGCAGAGTGAATTTCTGTCACAAGCCAAATTGAACAGCAAATGGCTCCAATTCCTGGTCACGCAGCTTTAGACGGGCTTGCCCAAAATCATAAAAATCGTCAATGAATGTGAGCAGAGGCAGAGACGTAAAAAACAAAGAACAACCCAAAACCCCAAGCCTCGATATGGTACGATAGACCTTAATTACATAAAAAAGCAGAGACATTACTCTTAATGTTTGATTACTGAGACCTGAGCTAAGCCGGGTAACTTAGTTATTGCTGGATAAATACTATACTTCCGATTAAGTTTGTGAGTGAGTGGGGAGCGGTAGTGCAACGGTTAGCGTGCTGCGCTATGAACCCAGCGAGCCGATTTCTATTCCCACAGAGCCAAGCCACAACATTTGGCTGTCGTCTGATGAAGCTGGTTGGAATTACTGTCAAAACGTTGTACTTAGATTGTAAATGTTGTGGCTTGGCTCTCCAACACACTGATCTGCTGTACTAGTACACTACACTATACACAACTATACATTACACTTTACACAACTATACACTACACTTTACTATACACAACTATACACTACACATTAGTGCTGTAATAGTGACGCACTGCCCACGTTCTGTTTACGTGACAAACCCTTACTAATTGGCTGTGTCGGGTGGTGGCGGGGTGAACGGCACATTGATTTATTTACGCGATCAATCCCAAACAAACCTGTATTATGGCTGTATATTTGGAGTTTGCGTGTCCCTCTCTCTCTGTGGTCGCGTGGATTTTCCTCCGGATCCTGCGGTTTTCCCTGCACATTTAGAGTCAACATCACCACGCGTTTAGAGTATTTGACCGATAAACATTTCCACACGTTGATCAGCCCACTGTGTTGTGGGCAGGTCACTTCTGAAAAAGAGCGGTGTAGCTCAAGTGGGCTATGCCTGGTAAAATAAAAAAAAACGTAGAAATATTTAAAGTAAAAACAAAGTTTCAAAGTAGTGAGCCAGGTGAAGACAAATTAAACTTAAGCAGAGAATTAAAGCAAATGCAATCAGGCGAGGGCAGGAGGCAAGGCCCCGCATGGCTAGGCCCCGCGTTGTAATGTTTCAACCTGGACATCGATTCCATACTCGCTGCTACTCAATTGATATCCCTACGAGGGAGAAGGAGCGAGGCTCTACCTGGGTTCACAACAACAACTACAACAACAATCACCACAACAACAACAACAACCACCACGATGTAAACTTCTCACCTCGGATCTCAGTGAGCGAGCGTGCGCGGAGCAGCAGCTACCTGGCAACTCGTGACGTCATGCGGCAGCAGGAGGTGACATGACGTCACTTGCGAGGTTCACACAATCCCCTCCTCCTACGAGCAGCAGGGTAACTGAATATATTATTTCTAGATTTGAAGCTTTTGTGACTGCAAGGATTCATACTCTTAGATTTTTCGGTAAAGTCACGTAGGTAAAAAATTAAAATTAATAAAAGTAAAATAAAATAAAAATCACGACGTTTCGGAGGCAACACAAGCTTCCGTCTTCAGGTGGAACCGTCACAGCCACGACAGCTGTATCAAGTAAATGAGAGATCACAAGAGCTACCACTCTGTATATATAATGGTTGAAGAGGGGAAGGGCCAAGTACGGCACATTTTTTTTAATATGGTAAGGTGAGGCTTAAGACTAGGAATAGACTGCATAACAAAAGACTGAGCCTTTATTATGGAGAGGTACCTAAGAGTATGAATAAATTATGTTAATGAGAAGGGCCCATGTCAGGTGATGGTGCTTGCCTGCTGTCCCCGTCCCAAATAAGCATTTTACTGGAACGGAAAGTAGGCAGACGTGACGTCACGCTCAAAATCACGTTGGAGGGGGTAAATACCTCGGTGACATGACGTCACTAGTGGGGACACCTCCCCCTCGCGCATCACGGCAAGTTAATGAGTGGTGACGTCAGAGAGCGAGATCAGGGATAGAGTTTAAGTTTATTTAGATTCCATTTCTATGGCTCCCTCTCTTGAACAGAGACCCCTTGGGTGTGTGAGCTCAACAACAACAACGTGAACATTATTGTGTGCGTGAACATTGTGTGTGGACACTGTTTGTTGGCGCAGTCGGAGGCACAGGTGGTGCATTGGCCAGTCATCTGTCAGTCGACCCATGACACCTGGATCTGCCCCGTGCACATACCCTGGCATAAGCGCCGTGGTGACGTCACCACCACTTCGTGGCGAATGGCGGTTGTTATTACTGTGTGTATATGTAGGGGTTATTACGGGGAGA